GACGAAACAATAACAGTAGTGGGCTTCTCTGGGGAAAAGCAGACTCTGCCAATCACCGTACCTATTGTCACCCAGCTGGGTGGACAAAAAGTGACACATTCATATGTTCATTCGCCCACTGTGCCTTTGAATTTACTGGGAAGGGATCTCCTGATAAAACTAGGGGCATCCATTCTGTGCAGCCCAGATGGACTAAGAGTGACTCTGCCTGACGGCACCGAACTCCAGTGTGACGGTGTAGCCACAAGTGGGCAGTACCTGATGCAACCGATTGAAGAGACATATGCTGACATCTACTGGGGAACGCTACAACCAGAGACTGTTGAGACGCCTGGTATTCTCTCTGCGTACCTGCAGTGGAAGCCCTGGATCGCCCAAATCGAACCATATGTCTCTCCACCCGATCCTCCTCATGTAACTCTCTTCTATGATAGATTACAAACAGATTGGTACCTTGACAAATTCCAAGACCAATTGGAAGGAAACTCGTGGGAAATTAAAACACAAAACATTTATGTGGCTCCGGAGGGTGTTGCAGCCGGTGTAGACCTGACTCCTGATCAATTGGATTGGTACATGATGGGCGATGAAGCAGCTCCACATGTTTCTTTAGCTTTACATCCACGACATCAGGCTAAAGAATTAGGAGGCATGGTGAAAAGAGCATTGGCACAAACTGATTGGCAATTAACACAAATACCTCAAGTTCATTTCTCACCCACCACCAACACCTATAGAATCATGTTGTGTGCTGTTAACACAGCCACCCTAGAACATGAACAAATCGCTCGACATCATGGGAGAGAGAAAACAGATCATGAGGGAGCTAAAGCTATGCTTAACACTTTACCTGACCATTTATGGGCAGACGATCCGACAGATGTGGGTCTCACTGATTGCCCACCTGTAAAATTTTCAGTCAACACAGACACTCCAATATGGATCCGACAATATCCACACAAACCTCAGGCAGAAGCGGGGATACATGACACAATCACAGGCTTATTGGAAAAGGGGGTGTTGGAACCCTCACATTCAGCCTGGAACACTCCCATCTTACCTGTAGAGAAGAAAGGGACAGGTAAATACCGCATGGCACATGATCTCAGGGCCATTAATAATATCCTGGTCACCCCAACTGTACCAGTCCCGAATCCTTATGTTGCCCTGGCCAACCTCGACCCCTCCCAAAGTTGGTTCACGTGCATTGATTTAGCAAATGCATTCTTCTGTCTGCCCCTGGCTCCAGAATGTAGGGACATATTTTCATTTACGTTTAGAGGACAACAACTAAGATACACCAGACTGCCACAAGGTTTTGCTCTCTCCCCAGGATTATTTAACCAAGTCCTGAAGCAGGTGTTAAGCGACTGCACACTTCCTGAAAACACGACTCTTGTACAGTATGTAGACGATTTACTGATTGCGGCACCCACTGCAGACGCGTGTCTAGCGGCGACTCACTCAGTGCTTCAACATGTGGCGAACAAGGGCTTTAAGGTCAGCAAGGTCAAGCTACAGGTAGCCAGGAAGCAGGTCTCATTCTTAGGACGTCTGATATCCCAAAAGGGGGTCAGTATGTCTCCAACACACAGATCTGCGATCTTACATCACAACAAACCTGTTAAAGTTAAAGACATGCTCTCATTTCTTGGACTAACAGGCTACAGCCGTAATTATGTAGCAAACTACACAGGATTGACCCAGCCTTTGCGCGAACTGGTCAGACAACAGGGCATGCGAAATCTCACAGCCAAACTTGAATGGACACAAGATGCAGAAACTGCTTTTATCACATTAAAACAATCATTGGCTACTGCTGCAGAATTAGCAACACCAAACTACCATTTGCCTTTCTACCTGGATGTCTCTGGAACAGTATCATGCGTTAATGGCATTCTGTTCCAGAGAAAAGGGGGAGAGAGAGTAATACTGATGTACCTAAGCGTAATGCTAGATGGTATGGAAAAACGACACCCACAGTGCACACAACATGCAGCAGGGATAGCAAAGCTAATACAAAAAACTGCACACATTGTAATGGGACACCAACTAAACATTCTGACAACACATAGTGTGGTGGCTTACGTAAATTCAGAAACTTTCACACTTACAACATTGAGACAGAGAAGACTGAGCAAGATTCTGGAAGCACCAAACATCTCATTTACACATGAAGGCATCAATATGGCGGATCACATAGGGACAGGGGAGCCACACACGTGTGCAGACAGAGTGGTGAAAGAAGAGAAGGTGAGAACAGACTTACAGGCCACACCGATTGCAGGAGCGAGAGACTTATTTACTGATGGATGCTGTTTCAGACATGAGACAGATGGTCTCAGGGCAGCGTATGCAGTAGTGGAAGAAAAGGATGGACTATTGGTAACACAGAAAGCAGAGAGACTAGGGGGACAGCAATCAGCACAAAGAGCAGAAGTGGTGGCAGTAATTGAGGCCCTCAAGATAGGGAAAGGACAGGAAGTGAACATTTACACAGACTCAGCATATGCAGTAGGAGCAGTGCATGTTGAATTAGGGCAATGGATGAGAGTTGGATTTCTGACGGCAGGTAACAAACCCATTAGACATGAGACTGAGATGAAAGAACTAGCAGAAGCATTACTACTACCAAAGAGAGTAGCAGTCATAAAATGTAAAGGACATGACACAGGGACAGACAAAGTGACAAAGGGAAACAACGCAGCCGACCAAGCAGCGAAACAGACGGCAGGGTACCTAGACAGAATGATACTCATGTGTTCAGAGACCGAAATGCAACCTACAATGACTATGGACGGACTGATCCAGTTACAAAACAAAGCGTCTCCACAAGAGAAAACTCTGTGGAAAGCAAGGGGAGCCACTGAGACGGACGGACTTTGGAGAGGACCTGATGGTAGGCCTATCCTACCCCCAGGACTAAGACAAACAGCAATGGAAGAGGCACATGGGGTAGGACATGTAGGGGTAGCACAAATGCTAAGAAATCTTGACCATTGGTGGCACCCTTTTCTCAAAGACATGGCTCAGTACCTGACTAAGACATGTGAACAATGTACCAAATTTAACACCAGACCTACCATCAGACCAGAACCAGGAAGGTATCCATTGGAAACAAAACCAGGAAAAGAGATCATCATTGACTACACAGACATGGTAGATTCGGTTCGAGGGTACAGGTACGTTTTGATGTGTGTAGATGCGTACACAGGGTGGCCAGAAGCCTGGCCTACGAAGAAAGAGGATGGTAAGTCGGTAATAAAATTCCTGGTAAACCACTATATACCAAGGTATGGATTCCCAGAAAAAGTAAGATCAGACAACGGGACTCATTTTAAGAACAATGACCTCCAACAGGTGGAGGCGATGTTGGGACTAAAACACTCTTTTGGTACAGTCTATCATCCTCAGTCACAGGGCAAAGTTGAAAGAATGAATCAAACGGTAAAAAACAAATTGGCTAAAATCTGTGCACAGACCAAAATGAATTGGCTAGACGCCCTACCGTTAGCCTTAATGTCAATAAGAAGTTCAGTCAACCACTCCACAGGGTTCACACCACATGAGTTACAAACAGGGAGAGCGTTTCCCGGCCCACACTCCAAACTCCCTCTCACCCAAAATGATGATCAAGATCTAACTTCTAAAGCTTATTTCCACGAACTGCAGGGTTTGGTGTCTACATTTTCAAAACAGGTGAAGGACCAGCAGACCGCAGGAAAAGGCACAACACCTCCAGAGGCAGAGTGGGTTCTGCTCCGAGTCATCAAAAGAAAGTGGTCGGAACCACGCTGGACAGGTCCATTCCAGGTAACTGAAAGAACAACCCACGCAGTACGCCTGAAAGGAAAAGGAGACACTTGGTTTCATTGGAGCCAGTGTGCAGCAGCTGAGGAACCACAACGCTCCCTGATCGACATTCAGAGAAACCTCCAAGAACAGAACACCGAGTCGGCTGACTCGGAGACAGATCCTACCGACAAAGGGGCAGAATAATCCCCTGGTAGTGATCCAAGACTCCAGGGTAGTCCACCCCTGGAGTCCGAAGAGAAGAACTCCATCCGGGAGGAGGTGAAATAGCGCTCCTCTCCTACAAGTAGTGTGCCAAGCTACCACCTCAAGAAAGAAGACATCTCGAGAAAAAGCAGATGAGTCTTATCAAATTAACATTTGTGTATTGCAGGCTGGTTTATTTTTCTTGCCATTTTTGCATGGGCCTTGTGTAAACTAGCTATCACAGGGACAACGCGCTTTTAAAGAATATAAGAACGCAAAACCATATTCATGCTACCGCTTAAGTATGAGGCCTTATTCATATTTTCACTAATAATCATCGTTTATGCAATTCTATGGTTCTACTGCGATCTCCCCACTCAGAGTTGTAATATATAACATAGCCACGGAACCCGAGGAGCTCGAACACTATCAGCTCGAAAATCTAGAAGCATACTTCTATGGTAATGTTGAACTCTGAAGAGAGTTCAAAAGGGGGAATTGTGGATAAAATATATTCATGTGTTCATAGTTTATAGAAGTATGCAACATATATAATCATGTTTTATAATAGAATAAATAATCATAAGAGATGTGCTTAAACATATAACCAGCTTGAACATAAAATGCTGCTTAAAGCTAGAACTGAAAACATGCAGATGTAGAGAAGGAGCTGCGAGGTTGAGATAAAACCAAGGTTGGTTGTGAAAAGAGGAGTACTTGGTGTGGTGGGAAACAAACTTTTAGAATAACAATTTGACAATGGCTGGATTCATAGTTAGAACACAAGGCCCCAACAACAGCACCTGGGCACGATAAGAACGGGATGAGAAACTAACGGTGTAGATACAGTTGCCAAAAAGAATGTATGACTGTGTGTAGAACAAATGAAGTCTGTATTGCTTGATATGTACCACCCCTGGATATGTGTGTCAATAAAACGAGCCTGAGTTTGTGGAGAGAGCAGGATTCAGCAGTCAACCCCCTGACTCTCCGCTGGACCCTCCCTGTGCACAGGCGAACTCGAGCAACGACTTTTGTCTTTTCTTTATACTTTGTGAAAGTTCTTGATCAACGAATCCGGGGTGGTAAAACCTTACCACAACACATTTTATAAAACAGTTGCAGTGGATGCATTGTTTGCATCCGTGGACTAATCGCAATATATATCGCTATATTTTGTAAGGCTATATCCTCTGACAGCTATTGCGTACTGCCGACTCGGCTTGTGTGTGTAGCGACAAACTATGATCAGTACAATTGCCAATAGAAGGTTGCTACACTATTGCTAGAACTCGGATACTGGTATTTTACATTACGAATGCTTACCGGAATGTTGAAACTTATAGCTACTAAAAGATATATGGAGCTAACCTGCTAAGTCGAGTAGCTCGGTAACGCATAACAGCTTTTGGCTCGACGACAAAATATACCGCTGTTGTGTTTTGGGGAACACTGTGGTCAATGTTAAATGTTTATAGTACAGGCCAGAATCGCAGGCTTTCTCCTGTGCGATTTTTTTTCACTGAGATTGCCTTCGCGGTGCTGCCAATCCACCTAGATCGTGGCAACAATACAGTTTGCTAGTAGCTTTTAGCCGGTCCCTTGTGTTCGCAGCATTAACACAACGCTACTCTCGTCTTGCCGGCTAAAAATACACTTCTTGTCCAATCCTTAATGCCCGTCCAAAACTGGTGGGCTAGTCCATGACGAATGTGATCACCACCGTCCGTTCAAGACGACTGGAAGAGCGAGTGGTACTCCGATGCGGTGAGGTGAGCTGGTCGGCTCCAACGATACCTCAACCCGGCTTGTGGACTTAAGATCTGTGGCTATTCAGTGGCCAGACGCATTTTGTCCTAATGGCAGCGTCTCGTTATCAGTAGTTACATAAAAACATTTAGTCCAACCTTGGGTTGGAAGGCAACTTTGTATCTGTTTCAGCGCTTTGTTTTTTCTGTCAACTGGCGAGACTGGCTCGATCTGTCTGAGGTAGGACAATGTCAGAGGACAACAACGCAGACAAGTTCATAAAGGTAATCTGAGCATAACATAGTTATACGTAATTCCTAATGTTTTTGTACATCATTTTTGCTTGATCGTGTACTCACTTATTAGGACACGCGTACAACTTTCATTTTACAATCATGTGCCATTGTTACTTAAATGTTCAACTTTGATTGTCTTTGTTGTCCTCGTTTCCTTTTTAGTGTCTTTCGTGTGTCTGCTGCATGTGTAGGTAATATATAACCATATGACCTGCTATTGTGATGTGAAGACAAAGTGTAAAAGAACAAACGATCCTTGATGTAAATGCTATTATCTCTGTTTTGGAATTACAATAGGAGATACTGTATTTGTCGGTGTAATGTCACTTGTTTAATTTCTATGATATTCTGGATGAACTTTTTTTGTCATTGTGATTCAATTTTCTTTAAATTTGCTTAGCACACAAACAGAGGAGATGTAAATCATTAATTTTGTGGTGGTTAAAGTTTAGTCCTTGATTAACTTTACTGTGGCTCCTTGATCTGGTTGTATCCGGTGGCAGCAGGTTCATGGTTAATATTTCTATTTGTCCTGGCACTGGAATTTGTTGTCCCTGGTTTGTTGTGTGTCAGGGAAAGCATCTGTTATGTGAACAGTAAAATGTGATCTCCAGTGGCCCCTTGGACCAAACTTTCACAGTTGGGAGTGAAGTACCTATGAGATTCTTGAACACATGCCCTGAGCCAGGAAGAAAATCAGTGGTGTGTATACTCTTGTTTTGCCAGCAGCTTGAGGTTTTAGCAGTTTTAACCAGAAAATAATTTTTACATAGGACTTGCGAAACGTTCCCAGAACAGGGGCAATTCTGAGTGGACTTTTTAAACAGCTTTGACTGTTTTGCATAACTGCACTACTTTAGAGTTAAGCTCTGAAATAAAGTACATTGCTCATGCTTTATTAACTGAGTATAGAGTCAATATGCATGATCACAGCTCATTAAGTTCAATTAACACAACAGATATAATTAACCTAACTAGTTTGCTAGACCAAGTAATGTAAACAGTACTGGGGGAAGTCAGATCCTCAGATGATACTGCAGTACACACCCGTGTCAGCTCGTACAGTACTGACTCTCTCTGTTCGTTCAGTCAAGAAAAACACACAAATGGAAAGCTTGCTTTAATTGTAAACCATGTTATTCTGTTTTGTCTTCAGAAAATAAACAATGGTCAACAATTTGTCCTGTGCTGGATGAATACTGTTCTGTTGTTTTATGTCCATCAATTATCAGCCTCAATCAAATAAAATTATTACATATACAGACCATATCCAGAAAAATTGAATATCATCGAAAAGTTTATTTATTTCTATAATTCCATTCAAAAAGGTAAACTTTCATAGATTATAGATTCAGGGCCCACAATTTAAATGATTTCAAGTATTTATTTGTTTATTTTTACATAATTTGGGCTTCCAGCTCATGAAACCCACAAAAACAGGAATTCAAAAAAATAGAATACTATGGAGAAATCAGCCCAAATTTTGTGGGGCATGAATGTTTTAAACTGAGTGTCACACACTAAGCATCTACTAAACTCAAGGGACCTGCACAGGTTTCCCCAGGTGTCATTAAATTGCTTCAGTTTGGTTCAATTGTCTCAATTTGGTTCAATATGGGGAAGACTGCAGACTTGATAACTGTCCAGAGTACCATCATTGATACCCTCCATAGGATGGGTAAGCCACAAAAGCTCATAGCTAAAGAGGCTGGCTGTTCACAGTGTGCTGTGTCCAAGCATATCAATGGAAAGTCTACTGGAAGGGCAAAATGTGGCAGGAGAAGATGCACCAGCAAAAAAAAAAAAAAAAAAAAGACCATGGGCTTCAGCGGATTATCAAACACAGAAGGTTCAAGAATCTGGGAGACATCCAGAAAGAGTGGAATGAGGCAGGAGTCACAGCTTCAAAAACCACCACATTGAGACACATCCGGGAGATGGGCTACAACTGTGGGGTTCCTCGGGTCAAGCCACTTCTGAGCCAACGTAGAAAGTGTCTCAACTGGGCCAAGGAGAAGAAGGACTGGACTGTTGGCTAGTGGTCCACGGTCCTCCTGCAATGTCTAGTGCAGGTGTTGGTAAACTCTGCATTTTTAAATGCAAGGTCACCACAACAGTCTACCAGAATGTTTTGGAGGACTTCATGATTCCTTCTGCTGAGGATCTGTATGGAGATGCAGATTTCATCTTCCAGCAAGACCTGGCCCCTGCCCATACTGCCAGAAGCACCAAAACCTGGTTTGATGCCCATGCCATCACAGTGCTTGAATGGCCAGCCAACTCGCCGGACCTAAACCCCATTGAAAATCTATGGGGTATTATTAAGAGGAAAATGAGGGGCACCAGATGCAAAAACAAAGAAGAGCTGACTGCAAGCATCAAGGAAATCTGGGCTTCCATAACTCCCAGGCAATGCCACAGGCTGATTGCATCAATGCCACGGAGCATTGAGGCAGTGATTAAGGCAAAGGGATTCCCAACCAAGTACTGAAGATTGACATATTGTTTTGAAAATACCAAATGATTGATGTGATGTAATCCTAATTTCTTTTTTCTGCAAAAACTGAGAAGTAAATGGTGACTTCTCCACAGTATTCAAATTTTTTGAATTCCTGTTTTTGTGGGTTTCATGAGCTGGAAGCCCAAATTATGTAAAAATAATCTTGAAATCATTTAAATTGTGGGCCCTGAATCTATAATCTATCAAAGTTTAGCTTTTTGAATGTAATTATGGAAATAAATAAACTTTTCCATGATATTTTGATTTTTTGGATATGGTCTGTACAAATTAAATTGAGTTGACTGAATAAGTTGTTATTTGAGTTATTAAATTACTTATAATTTTTACTAGGGTAAAAAATTAGCACACAGGTTCCTATAAAGCTGACGTTAGTGGGAGACTGCGAGTGGTCTTTACTGTTGAAAGATTCTTGCTGTGCGAGGTGTCTTCAGGCAAGGAGTGGAAGCAACCGGTAGATGGTCGATTCGTTTTAATAGCAAAACGTCAAACAAAACAGGTCCAACAATAAAGCAAAA